TATTGAAATAATTGTCAACTAATTTAGAAACTGATTAATCGTTGACTTTTGACTATCGTTGAGTATTCAGACTCAAAAAAGTTCAGTTGCTGAAACAACAACATGCTCAGAGCTGTAATTAAGATTCTGTAAAAGAAAATCTCAAAGTGAGCACCTCTTGTATCCAATCATTAATGAAAATAATGAACAGTTTTAAACGATGAATGGGCATAAAAATGGATGAATTGTCAGGATTCTTGGCGTCACTGAAAGCTGGGGTGTGTTCCTGTTTGGTGCAGACACACAGCTGAAGGTGTGGATGAATAAATACGGCTGGACGGAGAACGAGGATGGACAGATCTTCATCTACAACCAGGAGGAGAGCATCAAGCCCAAAAACATCGTGGAGAAGATCGACTTCGAGAGTGAGTGGCTCTGCGTTGGCTCGTCTTTTCTGACCCGCGAGTGTCCAGCTCCCTGGTTTACGGCTTTTAAAGTCACCAAATGAGTCCAGTTGTAAATGTTTTTATAGCGACCCAGAATTTAAATCAGCATTTTTATTTATTTTGATTCGTCAGTTATTGTAGAAAGGCAGAAAAGATCTCCTGTAGCAGTCTGTGCTACAGTACTGGTCTCTGACTGAAGATGCTGTTTTCTGCTTTTGAAAGCATAATGATGCAAGTACATCGTTTTAAATATCTAAATACTTTAATTTTCAAATAACATTTACCATTGGAATTAATTAATTGTCAAAATAAAGAAAACAAGAAAAACAATAAATAAAAGGGATTATTAAGTCTCTGTAAACAAAATTACACTTTAAACCATATTATTAATAATAATCATCAAGCAGGAAAACAAACTTTTGTAACAAAAAGGTGCAAACTAACTACTTTATCCTGGGTCAAATGCTTGGAGCATTTTCTAAATGGCATCTCTATAAAGATTAACCAAACGACACAAACAATCATGCAAATGGAAATTATTCATTCATTTTAATTTATCATCTGATTAACTGATAAATTTATTGTTTATTGTGACAGAATTTAATAATATTACTGCTGATGTCTCTCCGCCTTGGCACTGCCAGCTGCTAAACCTCCTGAATTTACTGAACTAAAATGTTATTTTAGGTGTATTGAATTAAAATCACACAGGGATTTATTAAAAGTCTCTGTTTCTGTTTTTAATGTTCAGTTTTTCTCCTGCAGGTGTTTCCAGCATCATGGCAACGTCTCAGTGACAAACGCAGACCCAACTTTGTTTCCAGGACTGATAAAATGTTAAAATAAAGATAAAATACATAATGTTCATGCCTGTTTCAGTTTTTCTTGTTTGCTTCTTTC